TCACATTGTATAACAATCGCGAAAACCCAAGAACACGAAAATATTTTTTCTCCATCCTTTTATGCAGTAAACTGGCACTGAGGTCACTGAGAAAATTACGTGAAACAAGAAATTATAAATATAAAAAACGAAGACCGTGCACTTAACGAGACAATTACTGAAAGTAATAACGAGTGGTGCAGGTAAATGGTGGATAATTTAAAACTAGGAACTGCCAGTGGCCTAGACTAGGTAGCATGATTCCGCTTATGATTAATGACTCGAGTAGCATCATTTGTCGCTCCGTCGAGTGTAGACTACTTCGTCATCAATATTTTATTGTATAATTTCGATAAGTTTCTTAGATAGTATGAAGGATAAATAAATGTAAATGCAATTAGGTTTAACATTTATTAGCATATTGTAAATGAGCGGTGGTTGTTTCTCAATTGAGACGTTTCGAGTCCCTGCGGTGACATTTGCCAATTATTTTAATTCCTAGGCAACGAACAGTCGCATGCGATGAAATGTAAACGTTGACATATTCTCGAATATATGCAAATGTTAGATATTTCAATAATCTTAGTGCAGAGAACTAAAAAAATGTCCCAGTTTGCCACCCTTAGAGGTGGAATATATTTTTTAAATGTAAATGAGACCAATACTGAGGTACCCTCTTTCCAACAAAAATCGGTTCACAAATGCCGAGTTATCACGTAACATAAATACAAAACAAAGAAGAAATATATACAGTCGAATTGAAGTTCTCCTTTTTTTTGAAGTCGGTTAAAAATTTGTACTCTGTGTTGTGTTAAAAAATATATTATCATGACACCGTTTTAAAAAGGTGTAGGTATACTTTAATACAGAGATTTTTATTTATTTAGTTTCCTAAATTATATCTAACAAAATATTTGAGCTTCAGGTTAGTTATCTCTATCTAATTTCGGTGGCCATTTTTATTATTTAAATATTTTAGAATATAATCACGAAGTATTATTTAATCATCAAGTGTAATGATCTGAAAATACTATTCAATATTTCACAAAAATATACTCGAATAATTACCTAAATAATAAAACTTACCACCGAAATTAGGTACAGAAAACTCATTTGTTTGTAAGGCCAATAACAGATCGCCCCGTGATATTATTATAGACAAGTAAACCGACTACAGTCAGTGAAAATCATACACTGGTGTTTTTTATTTATGTATCCATATAATTTAAGATACAAGGTTATGGTAAATTAGCGAACAAAATTCAAATGCGGTAATTATAATAAAAATGGAATTGAGACTAGACGATCCTGTTAAGATTAAAAAAAAATTAAGGTTTTCTTGAATGTTTCTGCAATAGTACAAAAATAATTTATATGCAAAATACTGACCTTGAGGCTTAATCGAGTTCGTAAAATGTTTTGAATGTGATAATAATAATTATAACCATTTATTAAAAAAACCAACGTCCAAAGTTCGTGGAATTACGTCTATTTGCCAAGTTTTATTGAAATCGGTTAGCAGAAAGTGCACGAAACCGGATTCATCCCCCAGTTTGCCAACCTCCTCCTCTTTTCTTTGAAGTCGGTTAAAAATACAGAATAATTAAATTCCTAATGAAAGTTTTCATGACGGCAAAAAAAACCGTTTAAATCCAATACGAAGATCTTGCATCCATATCCGTCCGAAACAATTAAGGTGGTTTTTCACCGGCGATACGAGACGAGACGAGGTGAGACGAGGATTGAAATTTGTATGACAAAATTTCAATTCTCTCCTACTCAAGCTTCGATGGAAATGGTCTGGATTGACGAGAAAGGGCGAGGCTAGAATTGAAATATTAGTTGATATAATATTGAACCGTATTGCTGCCTGCATAGAGTATTATAGTCTACAACGGAAACACGATTTCTCGCGCGATCTCGGGAGTGCCCACAAGGTCTCGCGCGAGCTCGCGATGGCTATTAACATCAATCGTGAGATTGTGGGATTTTTGTTTGTTTGTTTCGTTTCATCTAATTCTTCTTCAGTTAACATATTTAATAATAATAACGGTACGGGACATGTTACTGGGTTACTTCATATGCGTATTTATCGCTAGATGAACTGAACGGCTTCAATCTGCACTATCCACAATCACAGCGCGAGCTCGCGCAAGATCGCATCGTTCACGTGAGCTATTAATGGCAATTTTTGGTGGAAATAGGCCGGCGAGATTTCAGTTCTCGTCTCTCCTCACCTCGTCCCGCCACGCCGGCGGAACACCACCTTTATGGTCAAATAAGTAATACGCGCCGAAATCAAAGGACAATGTCAAGTATGAAGCTTCATTCGCATAGTGCGTCTTTTAATTAGGTCGAGTATTACTTATTTGACAGTAATTGTTTCGGATGGATGTCGGATGGAGAACGAGAGTAATAATAATAATAATAATAATAACGCACACACTCAACATAGCCCCGCACTAGGGAAACCCTGTGTCGCGGGTGCCATGAACACACACATAGACAACCACAAATTACACCCAAACTCACGAGAGAAATAAATGTAGGTCATACAAATATTTCGCCCGGCCCGGGAATCGAACCTGGGACCTCTGCGTGGCAGTCCGGCATGGTAACCGTTCGGCCACGGAGGCAGTTAAAAGTACAGGGCCAGCTATGGTTTTCTCGAGATGTTAGCTAGCGTTTGAATAGGTTTTTATTCTAGGAGGAGAACTTTTAATTACAAGTTTGTTTTGGATACGAAAAACTTCTACGACCACAGTGGTCGAGTGGTATGTAGATCGGTTTTTATGGAGCCACTATCTCGGAGGTCTCGGGTTCGACCCCGGCAGGGTCGATGTAGAAACTAACTTTTCTATACTGTCTCGGGTCTGGGTGTTTGTGGTACCGTCGTTGTTTCCGATTTACATAACTTTGGGACCAGAGCAACGTATGTAATATTGTCTAAGTTACTTATTTGACAGTAATTGTTTCCACCTGGCGTCAAATAAGATACTTACCGAACTCATATTCATTGTATGAAAATTCCAGACCTGGATTTGATGATAACCTTCCACTGCTGCGAGAAGAGTGCAGAGGTATCGAAGCAAGTGCTGGACCTGCATTTTACGCTACGGACTTTGTTCACGGCCTTCTTCAAAGATCGATGTTTTGACAAGAAAGCCGAGTTCTGTCTTGAAACTATGTGAGTATTACCTGGTATTACTATGTTTTTAAGGATTTTAGATTTTTTTAGATGTGTGTCGTCGACCTCATCATCATTTTCCATCACGTGAGAAGGCAAACGTTGTTTGTGAAGCAAACTTTTCCGTAAATCTATTTCCTTATTATCAAGAATCCTTTCGTACTTGAGAGATTCCTTGTCAATACTTACACCCCTTCTTTGTATTTACCGATGTATGTAGAAGGCTTGTATAGTTAATGAACTACGTACTATTAGGAATATATTCCCGACACTGACCGACATGAACTAGTTCGTCTTGCACGGTCTTAATAGTTTATCGATCTTTTTAGTACAGTTAGAACTAGGAACTGTCTGCGGTGATAGTTCACCTGTCTTTTCATTCAGTAGTAACGATGCGAACGGGACAACTAGAGATCTTTCACTTCTTTTAGTAGAAGTTCGAGTGGGATGCATGAATGAAACTGCACGAATGAACGTTACCAGCTCGTTTAAGGTCTCTAATGCGTATCTACATTATGTATATATGTAAGCTTGTAAAAAGTAGTGCCCATTGTTCTTGGTATGTGTGGTAGACATCTATATACTATACTATTATATAATATATGTATACTATCGACTTACGTGTATATGAAATCGTTGTAAATAATTATTTTTAAACACACCATTCTACCTAAAATATACGTTATTCCATTGTTGTTTTGTAAAAACAAGGATATAGTTAGAACAATAGTCTTAAACCTGTAAATTAAGAAGGGAAATTAAATAGTACCGATTTTCGACGAAATTGTATTTATAAACACTTAGTAAAGTGTAGACAGTATACTATAGTAACGTATTGACATTGATATCATAATACTAGAAGTCTGTAGTAGTTTATGTGAATAACTAATATAGAGCGTTTGTTCAATGTCCGAGCAAGGACAAGACGAACTAACGAACTAAGGAACTAGATGAACTAATAATTTAGTTTAAAAAAAGGCTAAAAGGCCGATCAAGTTCAGTTGACCGATTGAACTAACTAGGATCGCTCCCTTTAGGGACGGACCAGCCTCAAGTCTAGTAGGTAGGAAATAGTTTCTTCTACTTTTATTGCTCATAATACTTTTTTGTGACATCAAGGAACATGTCGTGTACCTGGACAAGTCTATCCATAACTGTTGCAGTGCCACCCAAAGTTTTAAAACGCAAAGATCTGAGAGACACTGCCACTGCACCTATCACCTTGAGACATAAATTTGACCAGTGCCTATAGTTCCACCAGTATCCTTACCCTTCAAAACTGGAACGCAATAATGCTCATATTACTACTTGGGTTTTTTTATAATACCAAGTGACGGGGCGAACAAGTAGTGGGCCTGGTGGTAAGCGACACGCATGTTCATAACAGTTGCAGTGCCACTCAGAGCTTTAAGCCGCAAAGATCGAAGGGGCACTGCCACTGCGTCCATCACCGTGAGTCATAAGTTGAGAAGTCCCATGTGTCTGTAATTTTATCAGCATCCCTACCCTTCAAAACGGGAACGTAGTGATGCTCACTTTATGCTTGGCGGCAGAAATTAGTACGATGAAGTACTTTCCCTAGTCGGACTCTTTCACAGGGAGCGCCACTGTTACTGGATTGTAATTTACATTTAATTTTTATTATAGATAATAAATTGACGCCTTCATGTTATTTTTAGAAATAATGTCACAACCCTGGAATTAGGGTGAAGTCGCAAATTAGTATTGAGTGACCTGTCAAATGGGTTGATGACGCACCATTAGAGATCCGTGGATTCCAGTTGCTTATAACCTACCTTGTACCTTTTGGTTCATCTTCAAGCTTATTATAATTACAAAAAAATAGCCGTTATCATTACGTCACGGTTTCTGCAGTATTATTTAGTTAACGCAATTAAAAATTATTGTGAGAAAATCCGCAACCAGAACAGGATTTGATTGATGTAAATGTATTGTAATCGCTTCATAATTACTAATCATCAACGTCAAGGTCGCGGTTGTTGGTGACTACTACTATAGTATAATAGCAAGTAACGAAACGCCCGCGCCTGTTCGGCGCGTTAAGGTAGTTTTCCACCGGCGAGGCGAGACAAAACCATTTATTTCCACCAAAAATTGCCCTCTTATGTTACTGCCTCCGTAGCCGACCGGTTATACCGTGCTGGACTGCACGCAGAGGTCCCGGGTTTGATTCCCGGGCCGGGAGAAGCATTTGTATGGCCTATATTTGTTTCTCTCGTGAGTTTGGGTGTAATATGTGGTTGTCTTTGTGTGTGTCCATGGCACCGCGACCCAGGGCTTCCCTAGTGCGGGGCTATTAGTATGTGCATTATTATTATTATTATTAATAGCCTGCGCGAGCCATCACGAGCTCGCGCTGTGATTGTAGATAGTGAAGATTTAGTGCTGTTCAGTTTATCTAGCATAAATACGCGGCTGTGGTAACATATCCTGTAAATTACATTATTAAATACTTTAACGGTTAACCTATCACAAACTCGAATTTCTTTTTTCCGAATTTCATTGCTCCGTAAACCGAGCCGAGCGAGCGAAACGAACTGGCGCGGCAGCGGCCAGCGATTGCCAGAGCCGAATTTGTTTGCATTACCTGGACGGTATGACCCCTTCCTATAGGTTTAGGTTAGGTTAGTATATGAAAAAGTAGCACGATCCAAACGAGCGAAGCGAGCGAATCACAAGTCGATCAAATTAACTTGCATCTCGTTTACCACATTTTCTAAAGGTGCTAGGTGCCTTAATTTCACGAGTTGTATTGTGCGATACGTTCTAATACTTTTAATATCTGTAATAAGAAAGAATATAACAAAAATGTATCATAGATATAGTTTTTTAACAAAATAAAAATATTCAATTAGATACATTGTTCAAACGGTTTGTTGGGGAAATAAAAATCGGGAAAAGAATAACTTATCAATATGTCAAAATAGTGAAATATTAAATGGTGTAATGAAAAAAAAAACCGTAACGTGTTTTCGGACAAATGAAACAAAATCTATCAATAAAAACTAAAGGTTTTCGGAGAAAAAAAATCTGTAAATCATGTTCCTAGCTTGTGATACGTAACCACTTTAATGGAAGAAGAATCACATGAAACCAACTTTAAAAAAAAATCTCAATACGTACCCCACAATCTCCCGATTGATACTAATAGCTATCGCGAGCTCGCGTGAGAAATCGTGTGTCCGTTGCAAAGTATAATACTTTATGTAGGCAGTAATACGGTACAACAATACATCAACAAATATTTCAATTATCACCTCGCCCATCTAAACAATTCCACCGAAGAAGGGCTACGAGAGAGAGCTCGTCTTGCCTCGCCGGTGGAGAAGCACCTTTAATGCTTACTCCGCTCGGAGCGTAGTAGGATTGATATATATTATTCTTTTAGTTGTATTTACCTACAGGTTATACACCTAATTTGAAGTTAAGTGTCCTGCTAAATTTGCCGGTGTATGTATGTATATACTAATGTAAATTATCATTTGACAATAATAACCTTTTTCACTTTCCAGTCTTTTCGCGCCTTTTCCTACCTTCACTGTGAATGGCTACCGAGCAATCTACGCCAGGTTGCTCGACGCAGATCCTCGCAACTTTAACTTCACGGATACAGTCCGCAGTTTCATGATGATTTTCGATCTATGGCAGTATGAAGAGGGCACTTGGCCTGGGTTGGTATTTCTTATTTACTGGTTTCGTCAAGTTGCAAAGCTTGGACCTTAAAAATGGACTTTAAAATGTTGTTTTACAAAGCATGTCATAATACTAGTTTTATAGAAATAAATTTTTGTTAGGTTGTCATACTTGGCTTTCGTGTTTCTTTTTAATTTTGTTTTTATGAAAGTGCAAACATAAAACAGTATATTTAAATTTTATTGAATTGATATTCAATTATTTTTATGTGAAATTACTCCACTAGTTCGTTATAATTATTAATGCAAAGATCGAACACTCAGGAAAAAATCCTTCAATCCGGCCGGATTCGAACCGACATCTTATAGCATACCGCGCCAGACGCTATACCAACTAAGCAACGGACCTACTAACGAATTTTTCTATGTGTTTGCTTCGTATCTTTGCATTTGGTTTTTCAACGACTTTTTAGCCGTAGCGCCATCTATGAGAAATCTATGATATTTCGTCACCGAGTTAGATACCTTTAGCTACCAGACCTGGCTAGAGATGTCGAGGTATTTAGAGGAGGAACAAAACAGTATAACTTAGTTTGTTGATATCATGGACCAAAAGGACAAGAGTATTGCTAATCGCGATACAAGACTGCGTACTCGGGTATTTAGTACCTATTGGTACACAGATGTTGCGGCGAGTACCAAAGAGCTATTTTTAACCGACTTAAAAAAGGAGGAGGTTATACATTCGGCTGTATATATGTTTTCAGATATCTCCGTGAAATGTGGGCCGATTTTGAAAATTCGTTTTTGTTTGAAAGGATGCACTCTCGTAGTGATCCCATACCAAGTCAGAATCAATCAGGATCCCATGAAATCGAAGGAAATCCTCAAATTTTATATGCATATGCGTGTATTCAACAATTTCACTATCAGTTGTGCACCGATAATGAAAAGTCTTCTTTTGTTTAAAAGGGTATACTCTCGAGGTGGTCCCTGATGCTGTTCTGGGTTCGGCTATTACAGATTACTTATTATTTTCCACAAACAAAGTCCATTTTTCACCATGACAATCAAAAAGGAAAATATAAAATGTACAAAGGAGTCCATAATAGTCCCATTGTCACCAAGAAGTCAGAAGCTGATGAGTGGAATTTGAAAGTCAATGAGTGGATGACATGGAAATCGAATAAAGCCGATAAACAAACTTTTGAGGATGTTTTTAATGCAATAGTTACAATTATTGTAACTAATTTGTTTTACATTGACAAGCTGCAATTATCAAAGCTACCCTAATGTCTAGTGGTAACAAACAAATCAACTACATTTATTACACAGATTTTTTATAGTTAGTGCCGGCTATTATTTTATATGATTTAGAATTAATGCCATCTACCTATATTGGCAAGCGATAATTTGTAAATTAGTTTGTAACATACAATGCCATCTATTGACGCGAACTACTTGTGTTTCAAAGAGGAATTAATCAATATCCACAGCCATTTAACAATGACTTCCAAGCTATCGATCAGCGCCATCTAAACATAAGACGGGATTTTGACCTTTGTCAAGGTTACGATCTGTAGTACGGAGATTAGCAGCCCTCTTCACTTATTGGTCCATGATTAATACAAAGATCGAAGAAATCAAAGAAAAATCCTGGCAACCTAGTGGTGCTAGTGGAGCTACGGCAAATATAAAGGTGGTACAACAAAGATCTGCAACGAGCACGTAGAGAACATGTTTACGTAAAAATGTCGCTTACGATAAGTCATCTTCATGGTTCGATATGCTGAGTCAGCGCTTGTTTTATTTTTTTTTCCTCGTAGATTCAATCTGTATTTGTGTCAAATTAGAGAATAAAGTGTACATCTATCTAAGAGTATGTATCAATAATAACAGACCAGTGGAGTATTTCACAAGAAAATATATAATTATCAAGGCAGTAAAAATGTCAATAATATACACAGTGTAACTTAGTTATTTTACGAGTACCCTTTTTTATTTATTTCTAATTTGAGAACTGTTTCTTCGTTTTCCAGGTTCGTATTGATGATTGACATGGACAAGACAGTGCTTGCCCACGTCTTGAAATTAGACGTTATGTCTATTCGACAAGTGCTCTATTTCTTACAGGTAGTTTAAACATACATTTTTTTTTACATTTACACATTTTTTGAATTAATTATCACTCATTCAAGGGGAGCACGAAAGCCTTCCCGCACGACGAACCATTCCTTTCTTGTACGTCTATTACACCTAGCACCAGCTGAACCTAATAAGTCGTCTTCTAATGCATATAATGCTTGCCATCCAAGTGATAGGTTTTGCCAATCGGCGTAAGGTATTCGCCGATCGTTGCCCTTTGAAGTTTGTCTTCCTTGTCTAAAAATGTATATCATAGATAGAGAAGAACCTTCCTAAGTTTCTTACAGGTGGCGGTGACTTATTTCAATTTTTGTTTAAATCCAATACAAGTTCCAGTTGTAGAGTAGTAGTAGAGTTGACATCGTGTTTTGATTTGATCGAGTATTACTTATTTGACAGTAATTGTTGACTGACAGCGGTGGCCCCAGTGTGGCACCAGACGCTGGTTCGAATCCAATCAAATTAAAGGAATGTTTCTTTGTATTGTTGGATCTTTTTTTTTGCTTAGACGATCTCCGCGGTCGAGTGGCTTGCACACTGGTTTTTATGGTGTCGCTCTTAGGTCCTGGGTTCGAACCCCGGCCGGGTCAATGTAGAAACTTTTCTATATTTTCTGGGTATTTGTAGTACCGTCGTTGTTTCCAATTTTCATAACACAAGCGCTAAAGCGCTAACTAAATTAACCAAAGGTACTTACTTTGGAATCAGAGCAACGTGTGTGATGTTATCTAATATTTAATAATAATATAAATTTTACCAGGAATGCATGCTCGTGAAACTGAAGGAGGTGCATTTTCTAAACGCGCCGTATTTCATGGACAAGCTGATGATGCTGCTCAAGCCGTTCATGAAGAAAGCACTTCTAGATATAATTCACGTCCATCAAACTGGGACCGAAGACATTTACAATTATGTACCTAAGAAGGCTTTCCCTAAAGAAAATGGTGGGGAATATAAGGACTATAACAGTGTTAGAGGTGAGGTATACAAAACAACATTAACTGGATCATAAGTGACAGTGCAAAGATGGCTACAGTAGACTGCCGTAAGGGTCCATAGATTTTGAACTCGTATTAACATACGTAATCGTTCAGTCTTCTAAATTTTGATAGACATATTTTTACCTAACGACCGTGGTGGGTTCGATTCCCTTTAAGACCAATTAGGGAAATGAAGTTTTCTAAACTAAGCTAGTTAAGGTTAGCCCTAAGTGTTATAACATTCTGGGCGCTGCAGATCGGGTCGCCCTATTATGGGAAACTAATTCCCTAACTCCTATTACTCCTCATTAACTTAAGGTTAGGGTCCCATGAAATTGGGTAGTGTAAGACGTTTTATCAGCCGTACACCTCTGCGCATCGTTATTGACAGCCAGAAGATATTTATATTTTTTAAAATTTTTATTGAATTCATATTCAATTATTTTTTGTGAAATTACTCCACTAGTTTGTTATAATTATTAATACAAAGACCGAACTCAGAAAAAAAAACTCCTTCAATCCGGTCGGATTTGAACCGACGTATTCTTGCATACCGTGCCAGACGCTATACCAACTAAGTTACGGAATTAACCAGCGGACCTCATGAATTTTTCTATGTGCTTGCGTCGTGTCTTTGTATTTGGTACTGGGTAGGTCTCTTCGAAGGGTATAATCACCATGATCACTCCTGTCCAATGCTTGTTGAGTTATAGAGCATTTCAAAGTCGTCGAAGGTTATATTTTCCTTTTTTTAGATTTAAATTAATTGATAATTTGGCTTAATTTTTAAACATATTTTTAATTTAACTTTACTTTCCAGATGATGTGGTGAAGAGACTAAGAGCCAACCCCGACTTCTTCCGTGACGAGAACAGACGAAGGGTCTGCGAGAACAAACGACCCAACGGCAAGAATACCACAGTCGAAGAGCTATTCGGCATTCAGGGAAGCTTTAAGAAACTCGATATTGATTAGATATAAGGTGATCGGTTTATGATTTGACTATAAAGTGAGAATATTAAATAGGCTAATGATAATTTTGGTGGTTTTAATTCTTCCTCATAGAGTCTCCCGTGAAAGGCCGTGGTTCTTGCTTATCGTAATTTGTAGTTTTTTTATATATCAAGTGACGGCAGCAGTAGAGCTCCGTGTGGAAGAGTTCGTCCAGGGAAGTTCTGCCACTTGATCTATTTCTGCCGCCAAGCAGTAATGTCACCATTACTATGTTCCGGTTTTGAAGGGTAAGGGTGCTGGTGAAATTATGGACCTTAATATCCTGAAGTTAGAGTAAGTGTCACTTAAAATTTTTCAAAAAGTATTTCCCTAATGCTTGGCTATGAGTGCGTGTATCTGTTTATTATTATTCATATATAACCCCTGTTAGCGGCTCCATCTACCAACACCAGCCCTACACCTACTGCAGGCTCTTCAATAGTATAGTTAAATACGCCACCCTATCATTAGATGGCGTTGTTTTGTAAATAAATAATATCGGTGATGACCATTGATTTACAATTATATGGACGTCGGGTCCGCGTTAAAAAGTGTCCGAACTTATAGGGCGTTAAAATCGTATACAGAGCGTCATTCACGCTTTAGTCTTCGTTTGTTCGACTGACAGCGAAGCAAGCAAAATTAGACAGTACTGCGATGACATTACATTTTAAATTCAACGTTTTAGCTTTTTCATATTCCTTTACATGTCACTACGTTTAAATAGGTTGACTTGGGACATTTTTTTCGTGGTTTTTGTATTAGACCCGTCGTCCATTTATTTGTAAGTCAATGGTGATGACGACTACTTTTTCTTACTTATGATTGTTAATATAATTAATATCGAAAGATGAATTTTTAATTTTTTATAATACCAAGTGATGAGACGAACAAGCCGTGCGCTTGATGGTAAGCGACACGCCTGTCCTGTCTGTGTGTAACAGTCACATTACCACTAAGAGCTTTAAATCGCAAAGATCTGCCACTGCCCTCGGCACCCTGAGACATAAGTTGACAAGTACCATGGTGCTTGTAATTTTATCAGCACCCATATCCTTCAAAACCGGAACGCAGTAATGCTTACATTACTGCTTGGCGGTAGAAATAGGTAAGGTGGCAGTACTTCCCTGGACGAACTCTCTCACACGGAGCTCTACTGCTACTAGAATATAGTAAAGTAATTGTAATAATTGTAAAATGGTAACACAGGCTTGATTTGATTGCCTATATAAGAGGTGCTCTGTCCTTAGTTTATTTTTCTCTGTTTGCGTTTTTTCCAATAAAAATCGTTAAGCTGCCTGTCCGATTCTTCATTTCCGCCACTCCTAGAACACTCTTCAACGTCTAAAGCCTGGTACTCATCAGCGAATGTAACTGTAACATGACAGATGCAGGAACGAACCGCACGCGCAGCAAGTTTGCAAATCACGTACCTACACACTATTATTTTTAGAACAAGCAACGATTGCGGTTAAAGCTTTCTAGTGAGTACCATCGTGTTTGGGGGTCCACTCCCGTCGAAATAATTACTGTCAAATGATTTATACTCTACTAGTTTTAAAAGACGCGTGATGCGCATGAAGCATCATACTTGATATCGTTTTTGGATTTGGTCGAGTATTACTTATTTGAGGAGTAGACACCCAGGTGGTGACGATTGGTTTCGACGAGTTGTTAGATTACAAATTGCGACTTTATAGACTTTTCATTTGGAGTATTTTTATTCTGTATCAGGGGAATTTTAATTTAAGTTTTTATTAATTTATGACCTATGCTAAACAAATATGGACTATGAAGGTGTATGTTCGCTTACATTGCATGCATGCTTTGACAGTTTTTGTATAATGGTCATGGCGAGCGATGTATTAGGCTCTTCCACTAAGATGCTTCTCAGATCATCAATCAATTTGACAATAGTTTAAATTTAAACGATTGCATAACAAACAATTTACGAAAATGGCAGTCAAATTATTTAAATCGCTTTTTAAAAGTTTCTACGCTCTGTGGCTTCCGAAATGACGATTTTAAAAATGAAATTTGCGTGAAATTAGGTTTGATTTGTATTTATAATGCGTAACTATGTCGTATATAAAAGGGAGCGAGATATGGAAGGAATTAAAGAAGTAAATTACAGAGACTACTGTTACAGTTTGGGAATTCGAGAAATATGAAGGTCTTTGGTCTTTTATTGGTTATTATGGCCATTGTTTTTGCTGTCGTGGTGAGGATTTACTTTTTGACCTATTTGAGTGTATTTTGCGGTCAATTTTTTTAATATTTATATTTAATAAACCATCAATACTTATATTACGTTACTAAACAATGTATGCCATTAAATATCAAACGTAGCGTGGGCTGGCCACCCACAAGGTGGACTAATAACTTCGTGAAGGCTGCGGAAATTAGTTGGAAGCGAGCAGCACAGGATCTGTTGTGGCGTACTTTCGTTAGGGAAGTCCTCAACGACCCTGACGACCATATCACTCTCGCTACTTTAAAGGCCAATCGGATCGCTGACCAGTCTCACTCCCTCCCTAGAGTCCCTCATACGGGACGTCCTGCACGTACTTGCGTAGATTCTCTCTTACAGTACGTCCTCGTGGTGGAATTTTTTTTTGTATTTTCCTCAGTTTTCCTCTGACATGAAGATCAGAGATTTTTTGCATCAGAAAACGGTTTAATTTATAATGATCATAATCAGCTTTTAATTTATCTTAGTATAGTATGTGGGAGCTTGGGAGCGCAAGGCTAAGGTTATTGTAAACTATACTTAATTTACTTTTTTCTTTTATTTTTTTTATTATTATATCAATTTGTTTTTTTCTCTCTTTTTTATTTTATTGTCTTGTTTTTTTCCTTGTATTTCATTTTTTTCTTCTTTTTTGCTTATAGTGTAGAGATTATTTACAGACTTATATTCTATGTTTTATATCTATGTATTACAATATAAGATGTACTATATACTTAATTTCATATAATATTCTTATACATTTCGTTCTGATGCTCTTTAAGAGATCCATTTTGTGGTGGAAGCTCCCAGTTCGTGCCCACTAGAGCGCCCTCAGATACGCTACTTAGTTTTAGTTTATTTTTAATGGGTTAAGAGTCTTCAGCTCACCCATTCATCCGGTGGCGCAGTCAAGGGCATCAGCGGCCAATTGCAAAGTTTCCTTCAATAAAAAAAGTGTTGGTGGAGGCCTATGTTCAACAATGGACTTTCGACTTAAATGGTGATGATGGAATATTAAACGTAACCGTAGATTTTTGATAGTTCATACGATATCATTACGTCTCTTTTCCAATCAAGTAGACATGGCTGTTTCCCTCACGCAAAAAAGTATTTTCATGATGTTGTTAAGGACGACCTGTTTTTTTATTTTTTTATGGTACAAAATGACGGACGAACAAGCACTGGTTGTAAGCGACACGCCTGTCCATAATAGTTGCAGTCCCGCTCAGAGCTTCAAATCGTAAACATGCTAGGGGCACTGCCACTAGTGATGAAAGAGACTCAGTCTTTTAAGGCCTCTTAAAAAACCTCGACTATTTTTTAACGCCTCACGACTAGTCTAGTCTTTTGACCCTCAAGTCTTGAGTCATAAGACTCTGAAGACTAATTCGGGTCCAAGCCTTTTAACCCTAGGAAGCTTGAAAGACTTATAGGACTAAAAAGACTAAAACAACTGGCGCCTCATAGCCTCGGGAGTCGCGAGTTATGAGCCGTTTGGCGTCATTTTATTTCTACCCACGAGGAATTTATTTTACGATTTTTATTATAAGTAAATAAAAGTGATTATTTACTACAAACTACTTACTACTAACGTCATTTTTATTTATAAACTTCGGGTTTCATAAGACATAAAATAGGTATATAAGTCCTTTGCAAACAACTCGAGTCGTTTAAGTCTTTCAAGTCGTTCAAGTTGTTTCAGTCTTTTGAGTCTTTAAGTATAACGACTGAGTCTTATTAATAAAAACTCGAAACCACAGTCTTAATTTTAGAGTCGAGTCCTGTAAAATGGAGTCGAGTCGTTGTAAAACGCCTTAAAAGACTGAGTCTCTTTCATCACTAACTGCCACTGTTGTTAATTCCCATGTGCCTGAATTTCACCAGCACCCTTACCTTTCATAACCGGAACATATTAACGCTAACAGTACCGCTTGGGGGCAGTTACAGATGCAGTAATTACAGTTTTAGTGACGTCGTCAATCTGGTTAAAATATGTATTAATTTCCTCACGTGTCCCTCCAAGTTAGCATTATAAATTTGTTATTCTACCAACACCCACCATATGAACAGACTATCAAGGCAGTCGCTTTTCCGTCCCAGTCATTACATCATCATTTACATTACAACGCTTTTTTCTGTTCATCACTTTTCATAACATCTAGAAGTTACCACAAATACAGCGCTACGCTCTGATAAACAAATTCAGTTAAATAACTAACATATAAAAAACCAATTATACAGACTGGTAAAAACATCGGTGCTGGTGGAGCTGCAAGTCTTCATGACCATGGATCGGGTAAGGCCGGCTGCAACAGGCCAGGAGTGCCTCCACCACCTAATAGTAAGTGAACTTAATAAACAGGATTTTGAATATTGATCTTCTGGCATTTCCTTTTAATCGACTTCAAGAAAAAGCAGGTTTTCAATTCGACTGTATTTGTTATGCGATAACGAATATATTTTTTTTGTATGTATGTTACGCGATAACTTTTGTGAACCGATTTTGATGATACTTGTTTTGTTGGAAAGAGGGTACTTAGTATTATACTTAGTATTACTCTTAGAATAATAACGCATAGAATGATAGTTTCATATCAAACGAACTGTCACAAGTGAGGCAAAAATCAAATTCATGTAGGCTAGTTTTAGTAGTAGGTTAATTTTCGGTTTTAGTGAATATTTATATACAAATACAAGTTGAAACGCGTTACTTCTTTGTGGAATGTGATGTTAGTATCTATTTTATGTCTGTCTGACGTATTTTTACACTCATTTACCGCACATTTCGTCATTTTTAGCTAAAACTCTTGATCTGTTCGCGGTGCAAGTCGTCGAAGTGCGGTCGCAAGTTGACCTTGAGCACTGAAGGCC